GTACCTATATAGGGACTACGTTAAGGCCAAAGTATATACTATTTGGGTACATGGACCCTTAGGGTAAGGCCTAGAGCCATGGCTTTATAGAGGCTTAGGCTTCGTATTTAAGGATCAGAGTGTTCAAGACTGTGAGGTTTCGGGTCTCATGGCTTGAGGCTTATAGTGTTTAAGGTTGAGGGTGCAGGTTTCAAATTTGAGGGTTTAGGGGTCTTTGTAATCAGGGTTTAGGGGTTTGGGGTTTGGGTTTTGGGTTTAGGGGTCAGGATTTAGGGTTTAGGGTTTAGAGGTTAGGGTTTAGGGTTCCTCGCGCTGTGGGTTTACACCTGGGCTTACTAGGGCTCTGTTTTAAACGCCCCAGACGCCGTGTCTCACAACATCTTATAACCTTCTCTCATAGGCCCAATACGCCTTAATTAAGGAATACACCGTAACTGATAAGGGGCTTCACATTACCCTAAGGGTCCATGTACTCATAGAGTATACACATTGGCCCCAAAAGTGCCTAAGGCCAAAGTATATACTGTTTGGGCACAGGGACCCTTAGTAACCCCAAACCCTAAACCCCTAAACTTAAACCCTAAACCCCTAAACCCCTAAACCCTTAAGGGATTATGGTCTCAGCTATATATTCCTTAGTTAAGAGGCATTGCTCTGGGCTTGAGGCCATCAACAGGCCGACGCCATGAAATCCCAGGGATCCATGTGGGGTTAAGGGCTTACAATAGGGTGTAGAGTGTAGGGGTTTAGGGTTTAGGGGTTTAGAGTTGAATTTGGGGTTATGGGGTTTAGGGGTCAAGGGTTTTATCGGGGTTTATAGTGGTAAAGGGTTTAATTAGGGTTGAGGGTTTAGGGGTTTAGGGTTTCATTAGGAATTAGGGTTTAGGGCTTTAGGCGGCTTTAGGGTTTAATTCGGGTTTAGGGCCTATAAGGTTTACTTAGGATTGGGGATTTGGGCGTTAGGGGAGGCAGGTTGGAGGCATTGTCAGGACACAGCAGCCTGAGCCTAATCTTCCCGCTCAACCCCAACCTCTGTTCACCCCGAACCCGTACTTAGGGTTTAGGGTTTAGGGGTTTAGGGGTTTAGGGTTTAGGGATTTACGGTTTAGGGTTCAGGGGTTTAGGGTAAGGTTTTAGGGGTTTAGGGTTTTAGGGGTGTTTTGGTTTAGGGCATCACCCCAAAGTCTTAATTTAACTCCCACAAAATCAAGCCCTTTCGACCCCGACATACCCCTAAAATTGTAGCGTGCTACGTACTTTAAAGCAGTGTCAGACATGGCTGGACTACTTCATTCACCAGTGCTGATGTGATACCGCTTGGTTTCGTCGGTTCATGAAGATGGTTGCAGTCGTGACAACAAAAGTTGTGGTGGCCAGAGTGTACACGATGATTAAACCCTAAACTCTGAACCCTAAACCCTACAACCCTAATCCCTATAACCCAAAACCCTAAACCATAAGCCTCAAAGCCCTAAGCCCTAAACCCTAAACCCTAAGGATGATGCGAATGACTGGCGCAATGGTGATTCCAAGGAGGGACCTCAACGCATCGTCGTTACCATCCTCGATTTGCTCATGTACTGAAAAACTTAGGCCCCTTAACTCTGAACCTCTTCCAGGGGCCTGGGTAACTAGAAATTATCCATTATGGTTTGGGGCCTGGGTAATCAGAAATTATCCATTATGGTTTGGGGGTATATTTTACGATGGTTACAATATTTCGAAGAACCCCAAAAGAGTACTGGCAGTTATTTCGGCCCTTAAATTAAAACCCTAAAGCCCCGAACCTAAACCCTCTACCCCAATTCAACCCGCCTTGAACCCTACCTACACCTCGTTCCCTAAACTTTTAAGCCCTTTTTTATGCTTGCCTGGGGCCTTTGCCAGGAAGCGTGGGAACTTAGCCAGCGCTCAGAGAAGGACCCGCCACCCTAAACCAGCAGTTTGTAACTCATAAGCAGTTTGAAAGGGGTTTAGGGTTAGGGGTTTTTTTCAGTTTGAGAAAAGAACAACAGGGACTAGTTTCCATACGGGAAATACAAGAAATGCAGGAATAGCCGTAGACACATGAAGCGGCCAAAAGCTGGTAGCAGTTTTAGTATTGTTCATGATGATGACGACAACGACTCTTGTGCTTATAATGCAAGTCTGCAAGTCACCATAACATAGGGGACGAAGGTGAGTGCTTCGATTTGTGGTGCTGATCGTGGTTTGATGGCCTGTTGAATGCCTTGTAATGCTAGTTGCGATGGTGAGGACGGTGATGAACTTGATGACTGTGATGTTAAGGTTGATGTTGGGAGTGCCCCTCGTATTCGAGCTTTCACTGGGTTATTTGCTGGAAGCTGTGCAATTACGGAGTTCTTCTTCTTGCGAGCATACTTGGGACCCCAGTTCGGAAAGGTGAGGTTTGTGCCTCGTTTGGAATTGACGTGTCGAGTGCGCGCCAACCGTCAAGCACCCCAAAGGTGGTGGCATCCACGCAAGAGAAGTTAGGGATCCCTTTCCAATGATCTTCTACTCGGGATTCCCCACCCGCCTTCTCTGAGCCCTGAGAAACTATGAGGGTTCAGCCGTTGCTGGTCGAACCACTGGTAGACATCGACTCCTGCTGTTGGTTCTTTTGACCAGCGTAGTATTGACTTATGGCCATCTGCTGTCGAATGTGGGTTTACTACCATCTACACTTTACGCCTGGCAGAACATTCCAAGGAACGCGAGCCTAGTCAGAAAGGCATTTCCTCGAACGTGCTAGCTGCTGCGAAGTCTGCTTCATGCTGAATCCCCCTGTGACATGCGAGCCTGACCACCAAGGACACTGCATTAACCAAGCCAAGCTTCCCAGGTTAGTACGAGTTTGGGGATTAAGGTTTGCGGTAGAGGTTCGGGGTTCAGGGTCGTAGGCTTTAAGGTTGAGTGTAAAGGTTCAAGAGTTTGGGGTTTCGGGTTTAAAGCATGGGCAAGCAGTTTCGGGTTCAGGGTGTGGGGCTTAGAGGGGCTTTCGCTCCAGAGTTTTGAAGGAGGCGGCCCAGCATCGTTTTGCGTCTGGCGCCCGGGGGCCTACGTTTAGGGTATAGAATTTAGGAGTTGGGGTTTCGGGCTCAATTTTTGCTGCCTGGTGCTTTTAAAACTCTTACAGTCTTCTAGAAGCCTTATAACAGCCATCATAAAACTTCAACTCTTGGAGCATTCGTCGATATCTTATAGCAGTCGATATGCATGAAGGTCCCTTGCAGCAGCCCGGGAACGTTGACAGCCCTTCTAAATGCAACCCGTATACCTACAAGCCGTAAACCCACAAAGCCCTAACATCTAAACACAAAGCACTCTAAAACCTAAACCCTACCTGTGGCCCACAACAAAAACATACCTTTTTGAGGAATGACATAAAGAAACCATTGTACGGACGCCTAAAAGGCTAAGTTGTTCGGCTACGGGTATAGCCCTGGTCTAAAATCCTTAACCGCTAAACCCCAGGTCTAAAACCCTTACACCCTAAACCCCGCCCTAAAACCTAAACCCTATTAGGTTTAGGGTGGTGGAGGGTTTCGGATATACTAGAGACCCTAAGCCCAGGCCGACGTGAAGGTCGTGTACGCGCCTGGGAGGATGGCTCATTTCGTGCTGCAGTGTTTCGTCGCGGGGTGGATCGAACTAGTCCCGAGGCTATTGCTGCAAGACGCCAGTTTGCAGGCCTATTGGGTGTTCCAGAACAGGCCCAGAGGCCTCCTCCCTGGAGTGCCCAGGTGTGGGCGGACTGGGAACAGTGGTTAGCCGGCCCGGCCATGATGGTGGACTGGAGTGGACAAGGTGTACCTCGAGTGTGGGATGTTCGCTTTGAGGACGAGGATGAGGATGGCTCCTTCATACAAGTGGATGCAACGGTGTTCATGCAGCTCACGAGTGCAGAAGAACAAATGCTTGCCGACTTAAATCTACCGGATGTTCTTCGGCGAGATCTCAGGGACATGCTCTACACACTGCAGCGTCACAGCGATGAGGACCTGGGGCCGGAGTTCAGATGGGGGCTGCGAGAGTGGCTGCAGTCTTGGAGCGATGGGTGTCGCCGCACTGAGCAGATCCTCAACTGCTTGCGGAGACGTGTTGACTCGTCCGGGGTGTTACCATATTGGCCGGTTGTTCGTGGGCCACGACATGCTGCACATCGTGTTCGAAGTTTGAACTGGAACCGACAGTGGAGTCGGGTGGTCTGTGGTATACTGGAAGCAATGGTGGATGTACCAATGGTGCAACACATTGACCTGATCCCTGTCAACCCGGATGCTGCATCTGGTCCAGACAACCCTGGGGTGTCCGCATCTTCGCCGACTCGATCGCGCTCGCGCAGTGCTGGGGAGAGCAGTGCTGCCTCGTCGTCTGTGCCTGGTCGTTTTCAAGTTCGGCGGGTGCGCCGACGTGTGGGCACAGCAGATGGACCTGGGGTGTCACAGCCTGGTGTGTCCGTTGACTCTGCGGTGGTTGCTGTACCTCGTCCAGCTATGGTGGTTGGTTCCCCAGACCATGTTGGTGAAGCTGCTGTGCCTGATGACGTGGGTGTTGCTGCTTCTGGTGGGGCTACTGCTTCTGGTGGGACATCAGCGCCTGAGGTCAGCACTGTAGGCGGCAGTGCTGATGGTCTTCCTGCGGCTGGGGTGGATGATGTTGCCCTGGTGCAGCGACTGCAGGCTGCTGAAGCTCAAGAGTTGGCCAGATTGGGCCTACGACGTGAGTGCATTAGTGCCATTGGGTTGTTCCTGGGCGAGCTTGCCTCTATTGTGGATGGAGATCGTGAAGGAAGTGACCTCACCGCTGAGGATGTTCAGTGGTGTCTTCATGTCCTGGATGCCGCAATTCAGAACGTGATGGAGGTCCAGGACTATGTGTGCACGATCCTTGGGAGGCGTCTTCGGGGGCGTGAATGTACTTTGCCGGATGGTGCAGCTCGCGGGGCTGCTTGCCAGGCGTCGCATACAGTTGTGGTTGGGCTGGCACGTGCAGTTTTGGATGGTCTCCATGAACGAGTCGCGAATGCATGGCTGGACCCTGAGACGTTGCCTGCCGAACTTCGACGTGACCCTGCACTCTTTGTGGATGAGTATGGTGAGTTGGGTGGCTATGGGGATGTTGTCGTGGCGCCCTTACCTGCTGAGGAGCAGGGGTGGCTACAGACGTGGAGGCGGATGGTGAGCCTTCTGGTGCATTGTCTTCCTCGGATGTGCCACCTACACTGCCGTCATTGGGAGTACAACGTCGCCGAACTCTGTTCTCTGTGGATGGTGGACGTACACTGGATGTGGCTGGACGTGGTGCTTCTCTTCCGGGTGCTGACCTTCCTGAACGTGCAGAAGATGTTGCGGGTGATCCTGCTCCAGTACCTGGTGAACACAGTGCTGCGGGTGGTCTTGCTCCTGAACCTGTTGGTGATGCTACGGAGACGGCAGTGGGTGATGCAGTACCTCGGGATGTTTCGCGCTCGTCAGCTACGACTGCCCGTGAGCGCTCTCGTTCTCCTCGCGGGGATGTTGGTGGAGATGGAGAGGATGTGAGTCTTATGCAAAGACTGAACCAAGATGACGCTGTCGCGCCCTGGGCTACTTTTGATGCAGGACTTTCTGGAGCAGTCCAATGCTGAAGGGGTGGATGCCGAATGGATGCTCCTGCTGGTCCAGTCGGTCTTCGAGTCACAGATTGTGCTGCTGCGGTGCCTTCGGGATGTTCTTCAAGCCCGTGCTGGTGGAGAACGTCCTCTTCCTCCTGAAGCTGGACGTCTTGCTGCAGTACAAGGATGTCGTGATGTTCTTCGCACAGTCTTGGATGAAGTGTGGAATGTTTGTGTGGGTGTACTTCGCGATGCTCAGATGGACCCGTACTGTCTTCCGCTTCGGCTGCATGGTCGTGTACGTCCTGGTGGACCTCGCTGGGGTGAACTGCCTAGTTCGTGGTCGGATGGTGTTGGGGTGTCCCGTGATCTACCTGTGTCGTCGGATGGTGTTGGGGTGTCCCCTGATCTACCTGCTCGTGATGTTCGACAGAGATCTCGATCACCCCGTCGTGATGCTGGTCGTCCAAGTGTTGAAAAGAGTCAAGAAGGATGTTCTCCTGATGGTGATTCGGATGTGCTGGGTGACGAGTGAGAGGGGTGCTAGCTTTTGTTGTGTGGAGGGCCTAATTGGCCAGTGCGTGTGCGAGCTTCGGTGAGTGTGTGCACATGTCCACTTTAAAAAAAACCCATAACCCCCAAAGCCCATCCCTGAACCCCACTCCCTAAACCCTAAACCGTAAGCGCTACACCCCAAGCCCTAAACCCTAAGACCTAGACCCCCTGGTGAAGCCTTTAGGGTTTAGGCGGTTTAGGGGTTTAGGGTTTTAGGGGCTTAGGGGTTTAGGGGTTTAGGGTTTAGGGGTTTAGGGGTTTAAGGTTTAGGGGTTTAAGGTTTCGGGTTTAGGGTTTAGGGTAGTCTTATCAAGAGCCGAAAGGTCGGCTGACGTGATGGACATTCCTCAGCTGGCGCCACTCAGGAGCCTTTCGGCTGAGAGTTTAGGATTTCGGTGTTGGAGATTAGGGTTTGGGGTTTAGGGTTTATAAGGGTTTAGGGTTTAGGGTTTGGGGTTTAGGGTTCGAAGGGTTGATAAGAGTTCTTATGACGCCCGTGGGCCGCCAATCGGGTCAAATCTTGTGAGTAATGTGGCGGCCTGTTCGATGCCCCACCCCTCTCCCAATCATCCCTGCACGGCTTCGTTAATATGTTACCCGTGATCCCCTTGAGCTTGGTTCGGTAGTTTGGGGGCTTGGGTTGGCTTGGGGTCTGGGTGGCTTTGACTGCGGCTTAGGTCGGGCTTCAAGGAAGAAACTTGTGGGTGCCTTAAGATGGACCATCAGCGGAAAGGAAGCAAACTCAACAAGGAATCGGCCGGCCGAAATCTAAACATATCTAAACGCATTATGGAGGCCCCCAACGTATGGGTGCCGGCCTGAATAAGCCGGCACAAAAACGCATTGTGGACGCCCACCGGTGTAAATAGGCCCACACATTGCAATGCTTGCGCGACGGCTCATCAGACAATCTGTGACACTCGGCACGCTGGGATGCTGAAAGATAACTCCGGTTCCAGAACTTTGCAAAATCGTCTACCAAGGTCAGAGCTTCGACGCTGTAGCTGGCTGCCGTGCCATTGGTCAGGATTTGTGCCGTTGCTTTTCGGGCTGGCTAGCATGCTTACTCACCCTTAGCCACTCTGCTGATGCTTCCGACAATGCGATTGCTGCTGGTCCTGCTCCGCCTCCGCGTCCTCCTCCTCCTGCCGCTTTTCACGACTGTTGCTGCCGCTGCTGCTCAGCTTTCATGCAATAGGCATACTCCCGAGGCGTCAGACTGGGGCACTTAAGCTTATTTCACTACGGCCATGGTTCAGTCTTCTCCGGGGTGGCTTGAAACAGAGATGCCCCACAGTCGACATTTCCCAGCTTCGCTTTGGGTGTAGGCTCTTCTGGATCTCATTCTTCTCGCTGTACAACCGACGAGCAGACATAGTCGTGGGCGAGCTATCCTGGATGCTTCAAGATATTCCACAACAGCACGCTTTCCTACATCCTAGGACCTAAGGTTTTGCCATGCGCGGGGCAACTTTAAGTACTGTACTAGGAAACGAAAATCTCGCCAAGGTGGCTGGCATCCACCCAGCCTTCAAGGTCTTAGCTCTCGGGGAGCCGCCAACATCGCAGCACCCCTGGCTGACCGAGGCCGATGTCGTTTTAATCTGCGTCGTTTTCGTTCATTGCACATTTGTGTACTTGTATGCTCGGAAATCACAAACCTTGTAGTTGCTGTTCATGTGTTCTTTTGATCATACAAAGGGCGGAGAGCTGGCGCATACAAGGACAGCAGAGGTTCAGGGGGCGTGAAGAGCCCAGATGGCATGGCCGTTGCAGCCGCGACACGGCACGAAGACTAAGAGCCCTGACAAACTCCTCGGAGACTCCTCGACCACCGGCAACCCTGTCGAACAAATTACAATCATATAGTGTGATTTACCAAAAGGACAGACAGCGGTAAGAGCAAACTGCTAGTCTTGATGGAATGCGAGGCAGCGGGCATCAAACATTCTAGGTCTAACCTCAGCCAGCATCCCGTAGCATTGACTTTTTCGCTTGAGACCAGGAAACTTAAAACGGATGTGAGTCCACACTCCCTGCTCAAGGAGCTGCAATCGCACGACACTACCCGATGCCCCACCGTGGCCCCAATTCACACTCAAAATTCTTGAGCCGTGATCCTGAAGCAGCAGGAGGTGGCGGCCTGCTTTGCCACCCATAGTGCCGTGGCAGACTCGTTGTGGAAGCACGGTTGTACTGGTGCTTGAAGTGGACCCTAAGATTTCCGAAGCCTAGTTCTCTGGATGTGGAGGTATTGGATTTGGGCATGAAGGCAGCAGGTCAGCTCAAGACCCCAGGCGATTCATGTTTCCGGTTGCACGTAGCTCGAAAACTCAACCGATTTGTTTAACCGAATTTGTTTAGTCACTGCATCCTCCGGTGGAAGCACTTGATGTAGCAAATGATCACACAGATTCTCCCTCCTGTGTGCATTTAGCAATAGAGTAGTAGACTGGTAACATGTACAGTTAATATAGGGAACAATATTTAGGGGTTCCTTATTATAATTATAGTACAACATACTCCCAAAACCCTATTCTAATTATTGAGGCCCCTATATTACGGGACCTCTGGAGATCGGAGATCGGTACACCGCCAGCACTCCTGAGGCTACCCAGAGCAGCGCCCCGAAGACTTGGCCGAAGCCTGAGGATACTTCCTTGAATCATGCAGCTCTCCCAGAGGACGCAAGACACCCTGCGAGAAGAAAACCCTGCAAGTGTTATAGGTCGGACTGCGGCTAAGGCACCAGAATATTTAGGTATGATTATCTTCTCCTACACATGTTGTACGCACATTTGGCCATGCAGACGTCTGCAAGTTTTTTGCGGTGCCTACTCAGGTGCAGCTGCTGGCGGAAGTGGTTCCCTCCTTGCCCACAGCCGCTGCCCAACGCTTCGTTGCAGCCGTGGCGCAGAAGCCATCAGAGCCCCAGAAGGTGGCACTTCGGGAGGTTAGGCTTAGGGCTCCGGGTTTAGGGTCTTGGATATGTCTTGGGGTGTAGGAGTTCAGGACTTGGGGAGCACAAACTCCTTGGACGCGGCTGGGGTGCCGTGCTCTGAAGGCCGTTTTGGGGCTCAGATAACGGTTCAAGACCCATGGGAACCTTGGAATCAGTCATTATTCCAAGTTCAAAGCCTTGGCAACCAAATGTCTGCACAGTTCACACGATGTCTTTTGGTTTTGCCGGCGAGTATGTGATTTGATTGACTTGATGGAGAGATGGTTTGGGTTTTGGGCTCAGGGTTGGTGCAGAGTTTTGCCTGCAGGTCTGGAAGATATTTACGACTTTCGAACCCTGCGAAGAACGGTATTAGTTGTCCGATGTATGTTTTGCTGAGTTCTATACGGCTGGATGCACCAGCGTTCGTGCGAACGGGTTTTTTTACAAGCTGTTACCCTGCAGAGGTTTAGCACAACTGATGCATTCAGAACTAGATACTCGTAGATAGACGGAGCGATCCTGAGTTTGCCATGGGACATGGTATCTCAGATGTTGGGTACACGCAGGTACCCTTCAGTGGTGTAGCATCGTTGCCAGATTGATTGCTTCCTGGCTGCAGGCCTCCCAGCCGGAGGAGGGGAGGCCCAGCGAGGAGGCACCGAAGGCAGCCCTTCTCAGTGCAGAGTCACCCTAGGACCTGGGACTGGAATTGTAAGGTGGGCCTGCCATCTCTGAATCTAAACTTAGGAGATTCTGGTGGTGAATGTGGAAAGGACACGTTGTACTGCGACGACTTCCAGCACTGTTTTGCCTCTCGGGTTCTTGCAGAATCGAAGCTCCAGAATGTCGGTTCCTTTCTGCCTTTCGAGAGGCTCCTTCAGAGCGGCTGGTCGTGCCCATCCGGGCCTTTGGCTCAGGGGCTGAAGTGCTGGCTTGTAAGCGAGGGAGCTCATGTCCTCATGGAAAATTACACAGTAGACTGAGAATGATGTACGTAAGGTTTCTTCTCAAAGCTAGGACGCATATACAGGGATCTCGAAGTATTTGTTATTGCGATTGCGGGGTCCTTATACTGAGGATTTTCTCCGTTGATGGGTCCATCTTAGGGGGCTCGTGTTGACGGAAACTCTTACCCCAGTGCACCAGTATCCCCGAAAAGTGTCGGTCCGAGGTGATCCTTCGCGTGGCGCGCGCAGCTGCAGTGGCCGGAGGGGATCACGAGGTCGCTCGGGGAGAGCCGCAAGAAGACAAGACAGCGCAAAGAATCCCACAAGGATGCATACAAGTTGCCCAAGCAGCTGTTTTGATATCATTGCTTCTCAAGGCTGAGCTCCAGTCCCGGATTGCTTTTTGCTAACTTCTGTATCATGCTATCGTCATCCCAACCCCGTCTGGGCGACATGCGCCAGCTGAGATCGATACCTGTTGTGGCAGCGGTAATGAACCCAGCACTGGATGACTATATGTACAGTAGCATGTGTAGATGCATGCACGCATGAGTGTCGGCTCAGGCAAGGCGCTTCATGCTTAGAAGGCTTCTAACACCAAATCCCCAAAGCGACCCCGCACCTGCCCAGACTGGGAAACCTCAAGCCTCCACTGGCCGTCTGCCTTAGTCGCAGAGTCAGATCGCAGCCCCCACTCATCAAAGCCTCAAGACGCCTTCGAACAGTAGCTGGATTCTAGTTCTAGTTCTGATAGCTGCCTGCGGCTTGCTTGATGCAGTGCCGCCAAGTTTCGGAGTTCGGACGGCTGCGAGCTGCAGGTGGAGTTGCTCCACGGCATCCTCCAGCAGCAGCTGTTTCCCTTCATGCCGAAAGGCCGGTCGCTCCAGGCATTGTTGAAGTAGCGGGGGGGGAGGGGGGGAACTTCCTGCGGGTCCCTGCAGCGAAAGCCAACGCTTTGCATGTGTGTGTGTGTGTGTGTCTCTTCGAGGTGAGCGGGCGAAGCTCCTGGGCCAACTGGCTGAGCACTTCGGCACGGCGGCAGCCGAGAAGGAGCAAAGAGAGCACTCGAGGGTTGGCGGAAATAGGTTTCCCTGCAGGTTGTTAGGGCTTCAATCAGGCTTCCATAGGGGTCTTACGGCGCACGGTCTGGGTGAGTCGCAGAGACGGCTTCGAAGCAGGCGTCCGAGCCAGACCCCCATCCGTCACCGACAGTCCTCCCAGTCCGAGCCAAGAACAGCGACACCTCCAGCTGACTCAAGCGGATTCACAGAGTATGCAGCAGGGCGAGCTTGCACAGAACAACCCTGGAACCGGAAATCCTTAGTTATGCAAGAGCGGAAACATCTTGACGGCAGTACTTGCCCTCAATCCCCCACCACAGGCAGCTGCTAAAGTGCTGCGACGGGCGCCGAGGTCCCTGAGTGCTGCTTGCATACGAGCGAGGAGTCTGTAGAGTTGACAGCAGAACCGGAGGGACAGGATGGTGTGCATCAGGGAACAGTTACAGTTACAGTAAGAGTGCAGTCGCGAGGGGCAGACTGTGATTGCAGGAAGGACACGGCAGACAGTCACTCGGCTGCACCGTGCACTGCATCTCCTGTCGGACATCTTCTCGCACTGTAGAGTGGGCAAAGCACCTGCCTGGTTTCTGCACATCCCTTCTCGCACGTCCACCGTGATAGTTTCTTCCGAGGGGGCAACGGCGTGGCGCATGTCGGGAAGGACCTTACCTAGCTGAGACTGGGGCCTTGCTGAGCGGACGGGCTAGGGACAGCACACCGAAATCTTGCGATGTCATTTCCCAGTGTCAGGACTCTGTCCAGTTTGGCGAGTGCGTGGTACCTGTGGGGAAGCCTAAGCATCCCGAGCTTGCCGATGCCTCAGCATGAAACACTTGTGTTGGAGGGTTGCAAGACCCTTGCAAATTTGCCCATGGTATATTCTGATACTCCTGGTTTCTTGATGGTACTGCATGGAGGTTCCCAGTGTCGACTTCGTCGGCATCGATCGACATGTAGATTTGCTGGAGGAGCTGGGGAAGGCCAGTTTCACCAGATGCCACGGTCAAATCGGAAGTGCTTGCTGAGGGCCGAACATCACATTATGTCTTTAGGACTTCAACTATTTACATATGTACAGACAAACGACTATTACAAATATGCGGTATGCGTGTGTGTGTCACACACACACATTTGTGTATACACATATTATATATATATATACAGTACACATACACACGCGCATGTTGCTTACCGTGGGATCGGAAGATTTTTCAGACCTGGAAGGCCATCTTCCAGAGGAGGGCTGCTTGGCAAAGTCTGGACTAAAAGGGATTTCTCCGGCCTGGCAAGGATTGGTTCAGTGTTGGGGTTTTGGGGTTTGAAGTTAGGGCTCAGGGTGTGGAGGCAGGGATTATGAATCGCGTGCAGCTTCGGGAAGAAATTCTTGGTATCTTGCAGCTCTGCCGGCTTCAGTTGATTCTGATGTCCAACTGGCATCCCACTGCCTCTTGCATGGGTCTTCTTCCGTAAGACTGTCGGCTCTGTTGTTTTCACCAGTACTTCATTGGGCACTGCTGTGTTTTTGCTGGCTTTGCTAAGGAGCGCTTCCTCCTCCTTCTGGGGCCGCAGGGTGTCGGGACACGGCCTACTTGTAGAAAGTTGCCTTGTTTGTGGGAAGCTAGAGACTTTGAGCGAGCTTCCGGTTGCCCAAACGTGCCCGCCCTGTAGGAAAAACCGCGTGGTTGACTACTTCCTGCAAACCGTGGCCATGGAGCGTGAGTACATGCAGCTGCATCGGGACACCACAGTGTCGCAACTCACGGCAGCCAGGCTTGTCATGTCGGAAGAACGCCCCCGCACTCACGAAAGCACGAGCCGCCCCACACCGGCTACGAAGTCGAGCTTTACATCTTGCAGTGTTTCAACTGACCCAGGTCACGCCTGTCGTGTCGGACGGCCGCCTGTACCATGAGGACAGGTTCAGAGGGAGGGACACTTGTGGTTTCGGCTTTACATCCGCGCACCAAACACACCAGGAACCACTGCACCATCCTTGTGCCATATTTTGTGCCCATCACTGTTAAGAAGCATCCTGCGAGAATTCATCGGTCCTCTCGCAGAATAGCCGGTCACAGTTACATACAGGCTACACTGCTGCGATAGCATCGGAAGTGGTGCATGGCCCTATCCAGTATTGTCTTGCCAAGGGTTCAGAAAATTGGGCTAGGGTCTCTTCATAGGAAGGCATCAGCTTGATCTGTACCTACAGCACGAACTGAAGCCCCTTGACCAAGGACTCTCCGCTCGTCCGGGCTGCGCAGTTTGGCCGGGCACTGGTCTTAGATGAGGCGAATTGTGATCACTGTATATGAGTTGCTACAAGACCTTTGTCAACAAACAGCAATAAGAACAAGTAGTATTGGCAACATGAAACAGTTATTTTCCATTATGGTAGCAATACTGGCCATTAGTAACATTACTTGTCACTACTAACATCCGTAGTCACTAAGACCACTAAGATGACAAGCAACAACATTCTGGGCTCATTATATTCGGTGATGGAAGTGGTGCCAGCTACCTCGAGGCGAATTATAGCAGCTGACACAGCCATGCCATTTCAGGGTAAGTAATGCTGCCGTCTTCGAGCAAGGGCATTGATGGCACTGCCTATCTCGCCAGTATGCGGTTCCGGGTGCTCAAAGTGACATGTGTCGGGTTTCGTGTCGATTCGGGCTGCAAGTCAATTTGGAGCTGGGTTCTTGGAAGAGCTAGCTTTGGGCATCCTTTGCAAAATGTCCTACAGCAACCAAGCCACAGCTTGAAGCTTCCGTCTTTTCCGCCGGTACCTGATTGGCTGAAGTTGGATGTTGCATGAGTGGGGCCCGGGCAACCATCTATATATATATATATGTAACTATATTATAATGATGGCCACCATATTTTCTCTTCACAGGGCATGCAACAATTTGGGAATGCCAGGTGCATTCTCGGCTTTTCACAGGGACACAACCTTGTCTTTCAGTAGCCTCAACAATTCAGCCTGGCGAATAATAGAGACTGACATACGCGATGGGAATTCAATCAGCAAAACGCACAAAGGTCTCCTGTCATTCACAGTACGTGTCTCTGGATGCAAGCTGCGTGTGCAGGCAGACAAGGCGCCCCTCGAGGCCAAACGACGAAACCATGTCCATGCTTCATGTGTCGCAGACCTGCTAGGGTCGTTTACATGTGGTTATCGGTGTCTGCAGTTGCATCACCTCCTGGGTGACTCTGCGTTTTCGCTGGTACAGTTTCTCTTCGCGAGGTGCCGATTTGGGACCGCATAAGATGGCTAGCTTCGGAAACACTGCATCGCTTCGATGGTTTCCGGTGCGAGAGCATTCGCTGAGCCCGGAACAAGCATGAGGCATGACCAGCGGTGCAGTTTGAAGGAAGTCAAACTAGATCTCCCCTACGCGGTCTTCCGAGACTATGTCGAACCGAGTGCAATGCCGATGGTTGCTGGTGTGGCGGTTCCACAGTGCGCGCTTCCACAGCTTGTTATCGACATTCGGCACCCACAAGGGAAACATCCCCTTAACTCAACAGGTCGTGGTGATCCTGAAGTCGTTGATTGAGGATGGGCAGCTCGCCCTCCCGGACGGACGCAGGCCCGCCAGCAGTGATGCTGAGAAAACGCTCTTATCAAAACCTTGGCACACGACGCATCTCGACATTCAGAAATCATCCGTCCTAAGTTCGATGCATGCAGACTTAGCCAAAAGCACGGCTCTTCAGGAAGAAGAATTGCAACGAGAATGAAGATGTTCTTTCCCGTGCCATTGCAGGCTTGCTGCAGCTACGGAGGCGACAGCTGGCGAGGGCGGTGCGGCGACGCTGCAGGAGCGTCTACGGGTTTGGGGTGTTAGTCCGGGGGTTCCTTTATCTGAAGGCTCGGGGGTTTGGGCAACCCCGGCCTTTGCATGCAGGTTCACCCGGAGTTCCGCATGTGTCTTGGCGGAAAGATGGTTCCCGTTCTAACCCGCTCTCGCTTATCCTTTCTGCCGCCAGGGCTTTCAGATCTGTCTCCCGGGCCTTGTGTCCCTGAAAGACAGCCTCCATGGGTTCAGAGGTTGAGTTATGTCGAAGACTCTTCGGCGAAGACAACAAGAAGAGTGACAGAATTGCGACCCATCTGCTTCCCTGCTACTGGTGGTGGTCATGATTGAGCTGAGCTCTGCAAGTTCTGAGGTTCGTCCTGGCCAATCGCCCCGGCTTCCCCTTCCTCGGCAACGACTTGCTTCGCGAGGTAAAGAAGACCAAAACACACTTCAACTACGGCAGTTCCGCAGACACTGTAGCTCAAGCTTTAAGGGAGCCGGTGCTGCATGACCAGGTCGAGGGGCCCCCACACCTAAGCTTAAGCCTCAAGCCTGGAGCTGGGCTCTCCATGAGACTCGGAAGAAGCTCGCGACTGGGAGGCGGATGTATTTTCAGTCTTCTGCCTTGACAACCCCGCAGCTTGGCAAAACGTTCAGCAGGGAGCAAAGGTGTTCATGGGTTGTCTCTACATCGGAGGGGTGCGAAGTTCAGGTTGCTTGCAGTGTAGGAAGTCAAGAGGTCTTTGTGTGGTCGTCTTGTGTCTCTGTGTGTGGTGGACGTGTCGACCGACAGCTTGCTTTATGGCACTTGTCGGGGAGCACATCTGGTCCGGAACTTGCAACCCGTCCCAAAGGCACATCAGAGGTCAGTTCTCCTTCGAGCAGTTGTTGTGATCCAGCTGCGGCCGTCCTCCAGCCAAGTTCACGCGTAAAAGCCTCGCGAGTACATCACACACAGATCCAAATCGGAGCTCAACACCGAAGCTCTCAAGCAATTAGCTCTCGAGCTTCACTTCGATTGTAGCCCCCCCCCCCAAGAAGATGCTCGCCGACTCAGCTATCATACAGCCCGGCTGTCCCCCATCCTTGGTCAACTGCAGAATGTGCGCACGTACATAAGTGATATGTGGAGTATAGTCTTAGACTTAGGACAACTTACGCAGCATTAGCCCCTTAGGGGTGAGAAATCGAACAGCTTATCGGCTGCTTGTATTGTTAGAGCGATCCCTCTGGAGGCTCCAAGGGCCCAGTCTAGAGCCGATAGGGATGTACGTTTCTCGAAGATCTCCAAGCCCACACGTCAGCAACGCCGAACGGAGCTCGAACACTCAGCCCCAGAACCCTGGAGCTTAAGAACCGGGACCAGGACGCCACATCCGAGTTGCAGCTGGCAAGGGCAGTTGGCTGGGACCCCAGGGTATCTAACAGGGCTGGGCGGAGTGTAAATCTTATGGAGATAACGGGGCAAGATTTCTGGAGTTTCTTGACTAAAGAGTTTATACAGGTTGCAGCGCTGCATTCGCAAGTATTGCTGTTTGCTGTTTTATCTTATATGACTATCCTCCTTCGACCACGCTGTCGATGCGGGATATATGTTTAGGCACAGGAAGGTTGAGGTACCTCAAACGCGACTTCCATTGTCGTAGAGCTTTAGAGCGATCCTCTAGCATCCATTTCGCACCTGCTTCAATCTCTCACAATCGTAACCAGACCTCATTCCGTAAAGCCCTGCACATCTGCAGCAGCTATTCCTTCGACTGTTCCGATTATCGAGGCCCCAATGTGCCCGATGGCCTCCTTCGCACGCTGGTCGCCCTTTTTGCTGACCTGCGCTTGGCCTTGGAGGAGGGGTCCAGATCGCTACGGTAACGTCGGATTCGGGATGATTCGAGATCCAAAGTTTGGAAGCGAGGGCGTAGGTGTTCTGAGATCTGCACTTCTACACTACTTCCGCACTGTCGTCTCATGTGGCATGATGCAAAAGTGCAAGCAGTCCTGGCTGTGTTTCTGGCTGCAGTCAACTTATCTTTGCGCACCAAATCAAGTGCTTCAGGCTGTTCCAGTAGAGTACTACTGTAGCCAACAGCAGCTGCTACGATTGCGATGATGATTCGTTCTTGCTACTGCTACAGCTCGCGATGTCTATGATGTTGATGGCGATGATTTTGGCTCCTGTTCGTGAGCTGCCCTGAGGACGGCCGCTTGCAGCACCTCGGCCATGCGGGATCGGGGATGGTTTCTGCCTCCTCCTCTACGTTCCGGGAACTTGTTGCTGCAACGTTATAAATGAGCTGGGTCCTCCGAGGTAGGCACGAGGTACAGAGTCACTTTTGGATCTTCGGGCTGCTATTTAGTCCGCTGGGCACCCTGCCTCGACCCTCGAACACGACGAGCCCTAGGTACCCCTACAGTGCCCGAGAGCTGCTAGCGGTGATCCGGCACCTCGTATCTCGGAGCTCCACTTGGCGACTGTGTTGTTGGTCTCAACTTCGGGAAGCCCATTCGACATCCATATGGACTGAAACTGCACTGCTCATTCCCATACTTTGCAGCCGAAGCCCACGCCATGCTAGATGGCAGTACTAGACCCTTCCGTCACGAGCAACATCGGAATAGTGGGAACTACCGACACAGGCCCGATCACCGCCGTGATCATCATCCTCATCAACATCGTCATCATCATCATCATCATCATCATTAACATCACCATCATCATCAGCAGCATCCTTGCGTCTGAGACTTAGAGATGCGGTGCCGACTGTTTCATCTCCCCCTTTTCCGGCCAAGGAAGAGCTTCGGCCCGGCATCTTGAGCATGAAGTATCGGAGAGAACCCCGAATATGTCATCATCACTGACTGTCCTAAGCAACCTGACCAGAATGTAAGTTTAAGACACAGGTGGTGTGTGGGCAGGGCCGATGAGCTTCAGACACGACGTAGGATGTAGGCAACAACAATAACAATAATAGTCATAGTACTAATGGTAATACTAAGAAAAAGAAATAGGCCACAGTTCCAAGGAGCGCTTTCACAACGAGCCACTGGAGGAGGCTGGGCACAAGCGTCACCATCTCATGAAATCGATTCGATTTTCTTTGACGGCAAGCACACCACGTTCATGGCCAGTATTACCATCATCCTCGGCGTAAGCGTCATACCCATCACCATGATCACAGATGATCACCATGAATACCCCCCCCCCCCCCCAATTTGAAGATCCTGCTGCTACATCTTCTTGTGCTGCCCCTCTTCTCGATTCCTGCTACAGTGCCACCATGGACCATGGACCGATCACACGGCAGCAGCCGACTGCGCACAAATGAAATCCATCAGTGACAGATGCTGATGCCGGCGGCGCTGACAGCTGTAACAAGGGTAGCAGTACTGCTGTGGTTTAGGGTTTGGGTGCATGAGTCACAATCGGACCTCTTTGTCCGGAACCCTTGAAGCTCAAACCCGTTACTTCCCAAACGCCAAAATTCCCTAGAGGCCTATTCCTTACACTTGGTGGATCCTCCCAGTAACCCCCAAACCTTAGGCCCTTCAGTCCTTCACCCTAGAGGTCTTCTGAACCCAAGCGAGGAATAGGGCATCCCCAAAATAAGACCAGCAGAAGGCCTTGAGCTCTGTCTTGGCCTTCGATCGCTTCGATGCTTCGCTTCGGGAGGTGGGTGCTCGCAGACTCAATGGAGAGAAATCATGATGGCAGTACTGGTCGGCAGTAGTCAGTAGTCGCTATGGCAGCGATAAAATACAATTCTGGTTACAGCGATAGTACGTCAATGATACAATTGACGAGGGTTGATTTCGATGTTCAGCGAGAGTCAGCAGCAGTTCTGAGTGGGAGCAGATGTCGGTGAAGATGGTATTGCTTCCACATGTGCACGCTCCAAAACGCCCGATACTTGTACCTGACTACTCCAGTGTGCCGAAATGAACATGATGGTAGCAATCGTTCAATCAGAATGCAACAGGAATAGTGATGTTTTGCAGGCTCTGCGGCCCATTCTCGAGCGCCGCGGAGTTTCGAGCCTGGCAGTGTTAGGCAAGGTGGGGAGGGTGCAAAAGGAATGCAAGCGAGATGGTGCACCGGCATGCCCTATAGTTACTTAGTTCCCTCAAAGGTCAAGTAGCCTCCCATCTTATCTTTGCATGCATACCGGGAAAGTCTCGCCGCTCCTAGTGCTTCGCTTCACCCGATGGGATCATGATTTGCTACTGTCCAGGCCCTGCAAGCGGTGACGGCGGCCACTCGGCGGGGCAAATGCCAAAGAGAAGAGAACGGTAACTCTAGTAGCCGCAAAAGCAGGGACTACCTGTTGTTGTTTTGCAAGCCGACTCAACTGCGATTCAGCTTCTACTTTGAGACGAATATGCCGCCAGAGGCTGAAACCATGACTTGCTGTGATGAGGAGCGGACCTCGTTTCGTCGGAGCTCGCAAGGTTAGCCGCGGGTCTTGCGGTCCACAGTCAGTACAGGTTGAAAGCTGCCAAACCGCTGAGTGGGGCTCCAGGCTTCCAAAATGACAGCGAATAGCTCAGAGAGTGATAGCACCCACCCACGAAGCGAAGAGGAGGCGGGCCGCAGGCTTCAGTAGATCCGTGCAGAGGTCCAGCTCCAACGCCCGCACAGCCTTGGCTTCGTGCCCTCGAGGAGCGCTCCGTCTCGGAATCCGAAGCCACGGAAGCCACGGAATCCCCACGTGCCTTTTTGGTGCAGGTGCTCCGCTCCGCACGCCTGGCGCGCTCACAGCGGCTGTCAAAGGAGCCGCCCAAACGCCTTGTCAGACGACCGAGCCGACTTGGATTCACGCGGCAGAACGAACAGCTCTGCCTTGCCATGGCTTGCTAGTGCCTTAGGGATTCAGCTTTCTCAGCATCCAAGTTAGAGGTCCTCACAGGCAGACCACTCCCACACCTGTAAAGTTTGACAGGAGCCTGCTGGCACCTGGCAGGTAAAGGAGCTCCTAGACTATGCGAAGGCCGGGGTAAAGAAAGTGCACCCATCGTTCTCTCGTACTACCTGACATGTTCTACTGAGTTCTACTATTAAACATGAAGCCCCAAACACTAAACCCATCCAAGGAACCCCTACTACCCACTACTACTATACCATAATACAAAAATCGTAGCTGATACTACTACTATTACTTCTAGTACTGTAAAAATAATAATACTATCGTCACTATTACTACTATTGTTATTATCATTATAACTGTTACGATTACTATTTCTATTATGTCATTCTTATAAGTATCATTCTTATTACTTCTATAGTTATTAGTACTACTCGATGGTGGTGGGCTGCAGCGCCCTTCAGGAGCTCCAGAGCGCCGAGCCGAGGGACTACCACGAGGTGAAGTTTCGTCCTTACGAACTCAGTCTAGAATATAGATATAGTATATAATTTGATAGGATGTAGCATAGTAGGCATAGTATAAGGGTGTAAGGTATATGCAATATAGTACGTAACATAATCTGTAAGAGAATGTGTAATATATTGTGACATGATATGTAATATAGTATACTCTATATATATATATTATACTATATAAGAATTTAGTATAATATACTAGATTATCCCTGGACGGGTGGCTCAGGGCGGTGGGTGGGTCAGGGTACTTGGGCACGTGGTTTTGGGCATGGCTCAAGGTGGCTGGATGGCTCTGGGCAGGTGGCTGCAGGTGGCTTGCTTGCTGCTGCTCTTCTTGGTCTGGGTGGGTGGCTTTGGGGCCGTCAACGGGGCCGTGGCGCCTGAGGCCCCCCCCCTCGCCCCGGATTGCACTGCTTCAGTAGTTCTGGCCTCGGCCTTCTTGAATCGTCTGACTGCGCAAGCGCTAAAAGAAGAAACGCCGCGTTGTTATTCTCCTGCTTTATTGAGTACATGTCAATGTCGTCGCTGGTGTTGTGTTATCTTTGCACACACACACACTGGATTGCATTGTTGTTGTGGGTCTTCTGTTCCATCACTAGAGGTGCTTGTGCTGAGGATGCCACACTTCGGGTCTGGTGTCTAGTTCTTGTTCCACTTTTTCGACAAGCTTGTTCTTACACTGTTCCTAGTCTTATCCCAATCTTATCCCAAACATTGCTACTACCTGCGCCCCTGCCCGAGTCTCGTGCGAAATAGTTTTCCCGGTCCCAGTTCCCAGGCTTCGCCCGGCCATCCTGGACCCTGCCAAGGCAGTGCCCCTGGCGGAGCTGGCCTTCGACCGTCCCTTGGCTTTTCGGATTTCCCGATGCTTTAGGACTTTGTAGGTCCGGGGTGGCATGTGGATTTGCAGATGTTCAGAAGCCGCCCTTTCAACGCAGACGTCATTGAATTCAGCCTGCTTCAGCTTCAGCATGTTCAGGGCTGACCGAGGTGCCTTGTGAGCTGGGTTGGGAGGGTTGCAAGTCACGCGGTCGCAAGAAGCCGGGACCTGTTTGAGCCTGTTGAGGCAGCAGTGGCTCCTTCGACGAGGGGCTGTGTCGCGCGCGGCTCCCTCTAGGCCGTCACTGTGCGGCAGATACGCGGTCCCGATATCGAAGTCAAAGGGCAGTTTCTGCAGGGGTCCACGAAGAAGCGAGATCGTTTTGGCCTCGTCGTCCTCGCTGCTCCTATTTGGCTTGGAATTTCACGTGTAAAGAATAGCGACCGTGGTAACAGGAGTCAACACCCGTCTCTCTTCTCAAGAATCAAACCCCGAAGTTTTAAGCCCATGCTTAAGTTCTAGAGAAGACTTTTCTGGTACCATCCGAGGCCACTCTGGGGGTGTGGTGGATGCAGTCGTCGATGGATCCACATTGCATCTGCTTTCCACGGGCGTGGGGCTCAGTCGGTGCCACAGGCTGGTTGCTGATGTTCGCAAGCTGCTCGTAAGACATTCCTGTCAATCCCCTACTGATTGTAGATGATTGGCATCTGCTGCAATTAATGGAGCCGTCATCGCGATTGCCGGCGACAGAAGCCTGAGGCCCACAGCTTGAAACTTCTCATTTCTGAGAGCTGATGACTCGCACTCATCCAATTTGGGACGCAATTAGAGGAGAATCACACATGCGTGGCTTGACAAAACGACTGACTTCCGAGAGGTACTAAGCAAGCCCTAACATTACCCGAGCATCTCTGCCGAGGTCCATTGTGCATTTGGTCAGTCGAGGCTGGCTGCAGACCCGAGCTACATTTCCGCATGGCCCCTTCTCTTGTTCGGTATCGGGCTCTATATGCTTTGGGATGCTTCTAGGCAATTCCAGCGAAAGCCTTGCAGGTTTGAGAACAAGCCACCACTTGTCCATTGGTCTGTCGAGACATCTGACAAGCCTGTGCCATCGTCCTGAAAAGCCGAACCGAAGCGTTGATGCATTGTGCACATTGCACATGCCGTTGCCCAAGCAGAGAACCAGGAAATATCCTTGAAGTCCTTGAAGATCCTCTGCATCCCAAGCCAATGCTCAGAAGGGGGCAGGGGAGCTCTCGGCAGATTCCCGAGTCATCGATGTAGTGCCCAGTACTGTACTTCTTCGTCATTCTCATCTGCATGTTATTATGAAAAACATCTTGTCATTCTTCTTTCTTTGTCCCGCCTTTTTATGCTTTACTCTCGTCGCTGCTTTCGTTGGAGATTGGTTTCCAGGATCCCCATGCCCTGGGCGCCGACGCAGGTCGGTGCTCACTTCTGCAGGTGCCCGAAGTCGAGGGCCAGAAGTTGGAGTTTAGGGTTTCATGTCTGCAGTTGAAATAGGCGGTTAGGAGTTTGAGGAACAAGGCACGTGGTGTGGAGCCCCTGCCGACGAGTTCGGACAAACCTTAGGTGCTGCTGGGATGCACACTGAAAACTGGGCGCTAAGTGAGTGCGGTCTTGCCATTCTGATCTTCTCAGCCCTCGTAGCTAGTCATTGCCACACGCAAACTCTGAAGCATCGCACCGCAAGAAGAAAAGGCAGTTGCAAGACAATCCATAGTGAATGACAAGAACAACAGTGCATTCATTGTCGGTGTTGTGGCGTAGGTATTGCATGTCGAGTTTTGTGTTCTGGGATGCGGTTGACTCATGCCATCTCGCCTGCAGCGGAGTGGAGACTTTGGATCGACTCGACCAGACAGCATCCGCATAAATCATGCCAGGTGGGTCCCAGCGCGGATTGGTCCTTAGCCATGGCAACACGTGAGACGATGCTGAGCAAGGCGTGCAATCCGTAGCCTTTGATCTTGGAGCCAACGCCTTTAAACACTCCGAAAATCAGGCTTCCAAGACCGGACCTGCCGGAAAGTCTTAAAGTGCAACAACTCCATAGGGTCCAAGGACTTTCCAACTTCAGGAGTCCTCAGCCTTGGACACTACAAAGTTTGTCGAGGTATTCAGCATTTCTCTTCGGCGGGCGCTCAAATCGAAATCTCATGTTGAAAATGCAGGTCTTAAACACGGCTAGGCCCTGAATCAGCGATTGAATGTGTCTATCGTCTCTGGCTGAAGCTACGCAACACCAAGATGCTGCACTTTTTGAACGAGGAAGTTCCGGATCCCGGCCAGGCTTGAAAAGCTAAAGGCTCGGGGTGGCCTAGAAGATTCGAAGCGCCCTTCTTCGATGGATTGTCGCCGACATTCGAGCCTGTCGGGTTCCAGGGACGTGGTGGAGCGTAACAAGGCCATATCGACATGCAGGAAGCAGTTCCTTTGGCAGGAGGCCTTGATTCTTCTCCATGGCTTTCAAGACGTGAGCCTTGAGCCCACTATTGTTTCTTACAACACGGCTATGACTGCATGTGGTAAAGCATCTCGCTGGCTAGAGGTGCTGGAACTCTTGGCGATGTGCGGGGAACAGAGGATACCAGCAGATGTCATTACCTGCAGTACGGCCATCAGTGCCTGTGAGAGGGCGGAGAAGTGGCAGGTGGGTCTCTTCCTGCTGCAGAACCTGGAGAGCTGGGGCGTGCGAGCAGATGTGATCATCATGAACTCGGCGATAAGTGCCTGTGAGAAAGCAGGCCACTGGCAGCAGGCACTGGAGCTGCTATCCCGTTTTGGAAAGCACGGTGGGCTTCAGCCCGATGTAATCTCGTACAATGCCACCATCACTGCCTGTGAGAAGTGCGACCAATGGCAGCTTGCCATGCATCTGTTCTTCGAAGTTAGAGACCGGGAGCTGCAGCCCAGCATCGTCACCTACAATGCCGTGCTGAGCGGCTGCGACAGGGCAGCTCGGTGGGAACACTCTCTTGCATTGCTGTGTCAGCTCGAGGGAGAGCGGCTTCGATCCGATGTGATCACATACAACGCTGCCATGAGTGCTTTGGCCAGTGGGGAGATGTGGCAGCGCTCGCTGCAGCTGATGGAGACAATCAAGTTGAACAAGTTGCAGGCAAGCATTGTCACCTACAGTTCTGCAGTGACGGCATCCGAAAGGGCCTCCGCGTGGCAGCAAAGCTTGCTTGTGCTTAGTGAAGCTGGCAAGCGTGGTTTGCGACTGGACGTCGTCATTTTCAACGCCGCGATCAGCGCATGTGCACGGGCTGCTGAGTGGCAGCATGCTGCAGCGCTGCTGGATGCCATCCAAGCCAGAATGCTGCGACCCACTGCGTTCACTTGCAGCTCTCTCGTGAGTTCCTTCGACAATGCAGCAGACTGGAAGGGTGCGCTTCAGGTGCTGCAAACGGTTGCTTCATGGGCTTTGAGCCCCGACGTCGTCGCACATAACGCCGCCATCAGTGCATGCGAACAGTGTGGCAAGTGGCAGCAGGCAGTATTTCTGTTGGAAACCCTTTCACCGCAGATGCTACAACCGACCATCATCACCTACACCGCGGCCATCAGCGCCTGCGAGGCGGGATCCGCCTGGCAGCATGCCTGGGAATTCCTGCAGGAAGCCCACGGAGAGTGTCAGGTGAACTTGATCGGCTACAATGCGGCTATCGGGTCCTGCGCGCGGGCGGCCCGCTGGGCAGAAGCGCTGCAGCTGTGGAGGGAGGCGGGCGTTTCGGAAAGTGCCAGGATTCTGTTGTCTCTGTTGCTAGTTACTAACACGAGTAACATACGAACATGGCTCTGGCATTGGTAAGAAGGACCGGAAGCAAGCCGTGAGCCACATGTTTGCACACCTGCCCAGGTGGAGGCCAAGGGGCTCGAGCCCACAATTGCCACGTGCCAGGCCACGATAGCATCCTGCGAACAAGCGGCGCGACACTTCGATGCTCTGCCGTTGCTGCGGAGAGTGTCTTTCATGATGAGAAAAAAGAATCCGAAGCTGCATGGTGGGCAATGAAGAGTGCAAGTAGTGCAGTGCCGCGGCCTGCCCTGTTGAGGCAGAGTGGTCGAGATGAATAACTAGTGTACCTTGTAGAGCCAGCAATGTGCATGCACTCGCTGTCCCGGCCCTGAATATCCACATCTTGCAAAGTCGTGGGAGTGGACTCTGTGTCTCCAAGCCTGTGCTGAGACGTTCCAATCTAGAGTGTGCGATCCGTCTGTGACTTAGAGTCTGAGCACAGGCATGCAATCATGGGAACACTTGTGAGCTGCCAGGTCGCCCAGGGCTACCGGGGCATCGTCGTGAATGGCCGCCCGCTGGTCCCGCGCCGCAGCAGTTAGGAGTAAGCGCCGAGGGCAGTAGAACACCGAGCGCACAAAGGCCTTGAAACCTTTGCTCTGTCAAATGCTGCTCTTCCCATGCATGAGCAAGCACACGAAGAAGAACCACCAGCTCCACTCCGGAAGCTCGACAGCGTAGATTAGAGAGGCCAGATTCTATATTACGGTTATGCTGCTGCTTTACTTCATCGCGTTGATATCCGCTAGGTGTTACACCGATATGTACCGACATAGCCCAGGACGCGGTTATAGGTACTAGATGATCATGATAATCGAACTACAAGGGCGATTTGATCTTGCAGGTTTGGTGTAGCTCGTGACTATCATGATACATGACATGGGTACCCTGTTACAGTTGCTTTATGGGGTCCCCCAGGTGGCTCAAGACGTAGGCATAAACAACATCTGTGCATAAAAGCCCCTGTGAACCTAAAACCTTGGAAACAGCCTGAACCCAAAGATCGGACCCTTCAACCATCGTCAACAAACCCCACTTGTCTAAAGAAAAGCAAAGACACGGGACAACCAGGCCCTTGGTTGCCCACAGCTCGGCCGAGTTCCCGGGGTGGCTCGGCATGTCGCGGAAGTCGATGAAGAGTTAGCTGTAGGGCTGTAGCTCTCAGGGTAGAGGCTAAGCCTCCGGACCAAGCCAGCATGTTTTTGGTGGGTAATGAAGCAGCCCGAGCAGCACAAAAGACCCGCCAGAAGGCAGATGCGCTGCTGTTGCACTCTCCGCTGGAGAGCTGGGATGTCGCTTAATGCTTCAGACGCCTTGGTGCCCAAACCCCGATCTCCCGGCAGATTCCACAGCGAAGCAAGCCTTCAGCTGTTGTGAGATTTTGGTTTGGCATAGCAATCCCCGTAGCTGCTTAGCTATCAGCCCCTGGCTTCCCCTGGCCACTGGCGCTTGGCTGAAGCAGAGAAACTTCACGTCAGCTACGACTTGGATTGGTGACAAACTACTGTGCAAACAGAAAGCCCTTCAATCCCTCGTAGTGCTGTCGGCAGCAACAGCAAATTAGCTGTCATCGTTGTAATAGGTGCTTGCAGCATTGCAGCAATCGCCACGGAAGCGACTACATTGAGCAGTAGTATGTAGTAGGGACCTGTTTTGTCGAGAAAAAGATCGCAGGATGCTTTGGCCCCCCAGCTGCTCATTGAGCGACCCTCCGAACCGGTCATGCGAGCCCTGGAGCTGATAGACGCACAGGCTTGGGTGTAGCGATTGTCTCGGGTTTTCGGTTTGGGGTGTAGCAGGCATCGCCGTGTTGATGATTCTGGATTCTGGAATCAGATACTTTCACATTTTGATATTCGTGGACCTGGCAGCACGTTCAGCTCAGACTTTCCCGACGGGCTTGTATACCACAGGTTTGGAGCCGTAAGTTGTCTCCCAAGCTCTTCAATACTTCCACCATCTTTGTCCATCCTCCGGAGCGAGGAGGTTCAATTCCGAAGCTATTCGGAGACCTGTGCCTTGGAACTGTTGGCGCTCGCTCAGACTCAGCCCTAAGCTTGTGCTGCAGCGAAGGTGCCTATGCCTTGCATGCCCAGCCCCTTCAGCACGATGCGACAGCCACCTCACGCATCCGGCCGACAGCCGAAGAGTGTCGCTGGGCTTCCTTGAACAGTATGTCGCCAGTTTAGCTTAGGCTTAGGTTCTGTGCTGTCCAGCACTCGACCATCCCTTCGAAGCTTCCGTGCCTCGAAGCTAGATTCAACTCAGGCTTTGTCATGGTGGTCCCGAACTGGGATGATCAGCAGGACCATCCGGCTTCAAAGAACCAGTAGGCTGCATCACCGGGTGTAGCTGCTCGCGTGAGTTAACAGTTGGACAGATTTGAGGTGGGTTTTGGACATCCTGCCATAGATGGGCGCTGACCGATGGGGGGCAGGCCGGACGGACCGTCGTCGACGGCCCTGTCCTTGACCTGGACGAGGCAGGCGTGCACAAGGGATAAGGGTCCTCCCGCACAGTCCAAAGGTGGAGTAGAATCGGATGCAACATCGAACAGCACGCTGCTGGCATGGATGTACATCGCAGGGTACCCCGAAGACCCGCAGCACGTGGATCCTGAACCCTGGCATCCACAATAGACGACCGCTTCCTGCATCTATCCGGATGACGCTTGAAGCCGTCATGAATCCCCTAGGTTCGACACGCCAACCGCAGAGTTTTTTTGTTCCGTCCATGTCTCGCGCAAGCTTGTCCTTCATCCCGAACCCATGGACTTTGGGATTCAGCGTGCCTCAGGTGCAAGCAGCAGTCGGCGCGAAGCCGTCTGCATGGCGTCAAAGCATCCCGTTTGCGATGAGATTTCGGTGGCCCATACTAGATTAATTATATCAGATTAGGATTCATGTCTTCCGAGTTTCGCAATACCTTTGTCCACGTAAGCATGAGCTGGAGCACTGCGGGCATGGATAAGGATTGTACAAGTATGCGACTTGCAGGCAGTAGATTGCAAGGTTTCTTAGATATTCTAGGCCCGCATGAAAAAAACAACAAAGTTCGTCGGTGCAAGCTGAGCCCATCGATGAATCAATCAAATGGTCCCACATTCGTGCTGCCTCGTCAAAACGACCGTGGCCAACGGTTTCGCCTCAACCAACCAATTTCAGCCATCGTGAGGCCATTGAGCCTGACTCAGGGTTATAGAGCTTCCTCCCGGTGCACTGACGGGCTGTGTCTGAGGCTGCTATGGGTGATGAGTTCACTGAACTTTCTTGCTGATGAGGGCTGATGTTACAAGGTGATTAGGATACGGTCCTAGGTGTTGATAGATGTTGTACGATGATCCAGCCATGCCTTTTCCTGCGTTGACACTCCAAAACTTCATGGTTTGTCAGGTACCGCCACTCCGATCTTTGCTCCAACGAATGCCACTTGTAATGGCAAGCCGGGCCCAAAACTTTCAAGACTTCGGGAGGCAGAAGGAATCGGTAGGGGATGGTAGGGGTGTGCCCGGGATATGGAGGCGTGTGTCGTGTGTGCCAAGTGGGGGCCGTCAGGCTGTTTGCGGAGTTTAAGTGCGAGCAGAAATCAGAAATGGATGGTGGCTCATTGAACACATGTGGTTAAGACTAAGTTCAGTCCGCATCTAGTCTGGTGTTTTCGTTGGTGCTTGTCTGCTTGTTTCGAGATCTGGGTACTGTAGGCCGAGCTCCGTCTGCATCAATCAATCAGTCAGTATATATATATATATACATGTAGCCATTATACCTAGCGTCATAGCCATAATTGATATATAGCCATGCTATGTAACCATAATATATAACCATAAATGTAAAGATCTCAGGTTATGATTTTCTTCCAGCCAAAGCGTTGGCGTGTAGTCCAAATGGACCTTGTGCGATGCATGGCTGCACTTTCCCGAATCCTCATACCCCTTTCGATAGAGGGGTTGGGGGGGCTGTTGTCGAATCCTTAGTCCTTAGACATTCGTTTACAAAGCACCCATCCATCCATTCATGCACCTTTGACATAGTGTTTCTAGTTTCATGTTGGCACGCATCATTCACGGTTGAGGTCACGCTTTCCTCAAGACCCTGTCCCTGTAGCTCCATGCAGTATCTTCGCCTGAGATGTTGTTGTGCCACAAGCCTTGCCACTCCCAGCACTTCCTCCACTCCGAAGCCCAGAACCGGGAAGTCCAAAACTACATAAATCCTGAAATCTGAGACCCCCCTTGCTCCCCCCTTGCCGCAAGGAGAGCGCACTCGCGAGGTCTGGTTGGAGCAGGCCCTGCCTGAAAGTTTAAAGAGCAGATGGATGAACAGCCCCGGACCCGCCGCCTGGTGTATTTCGCATTCTCTTCCGGGGTTTCGTGCCAGCTTTGGGGATTGCGGTTCTCAGCTCGCATCTTGGCCTTGCACCGACTTCTACCGCCAGCCTGCTCTTCTTGCGTCACGGTACACTCGCGATTTGCTTCCGTCTCTCCACCCACCCGAATCACCAGCATCCCTGTATAGTTTTCCCACGGTAGTTGGCTCCTTGAGCACCCCTCCCCTCCTCCCCTCCTAGGTCTCTGTGTCGGCAACCGCCACAGCGTCGGGTGTGGAGATGCTGCTGGCATTGCCTGGCCTCCGCCGCCAGACCAAACTCCAGCTGAACTGCAATGGGCATTTGGTCAGACCGCTTTGGCCACCAATTGAGAAGGGAATCAAGTCAGAAGCGCTTCTACTCGTACGCAGCGTCCAGCGACAGCAGCGTAGACAAAGACATGGCATGCTTGTCTCCGACGACTAAGGTGGAGATGGCGTCACACAAATCTTTGCCAGCCTTTATTTTCCTGCGGCCACGGACGCAAAGGCAAGTCTTGCAGCATGTACGGACTGCGTGTTCTTTCAGTTCAAGCTGCTGCAGAGGATCAAGGTTCACTTTATATAGGACAAGCACACTGTAGATTTGCGACTCAGCATGTTGCGGAGTACCACGTTCCGTATGGAGTAACGGCGAGCTCGAACCAAACAAGAAGTTGCAACATAAGCAAGATGACGTTTGTCGTCAGCGTCCCCGTTGCCACAAGCCGCTTGTTGCCGGAGTCATCGTCATTCTCGTCGCCTTCATCGTCAGCTTCAGTGTTATCATCATGCTCTCCATGTTCGTCATCGTCTCATATCATTGCCGCGTGGTATTCATCTTCGTGGCCGTCGGTGTAGAGCCATCGTCGTGGTCGACAACAGCACACCCCATGCGTGCCCCCCTCCCCCCCGCCCCGCCTCCCCCCCCACAGATTCCGTGTTGGCACAGGCCGCAGCGGCCGCCCCGAAGCTGCGCCTTGTGGAATCCTCGCGAGGTGCAGACCCGAAAGGCCTGACAGAGCTTCGGATTCGGCTTTCTGCAGTAAGCGGATGCCTCGGTGAGAGGCTGGTGCGACGATAACGAAAATGATGACAACGAATCCCTAAGATTGTAAGGCCGATGTTTCTGCTTGTGATCCATACTTTAACTTTCGTCACTAGCAGCATCATCATCATCAACAACAAGTACTATCAGTGTTGGTTGCTCTTCCTACGGTAGATTTTGTTCATTCATTACCACAGCTGCCGCATGAGAGATGTTCTCCGCATGAGATAACATGCCTCCAATGCCCCCGTGCACGCTGGCCGCATTTCGCATGCAAAACTGACGAGAAACCTCCTTTGCTATTCCAGCGTACGCTCTTTCCTTATGTCGACTTACTTAATCATCCCATAGGCGAGGCCATTAGTGAGTAATGGCTTTACCAAGAGCTTAGACTCGACCTTCGTGGCTTCTCAACACACAAACCCTAAACCTATGTATAAACCCTAAGCCCATGAGCACTTAAACCCCCCATACCCCCCCTACGTAGGCTCCAGCCTGCTCCCCCGATGTAGGCTTCAGGGTTTAAGGGTTCAGGGACCTTAAACCCTAAACCCTAAATTTTAAACCCCTAAACCCCTAATCCCTAAACCCTAAACCCCTAAACCCTAAACCCGAAACCTCTCAGGAGGAGTTCTTCCGATAGCCTTGCCCGCCGGCCCTGGGCCAGGCATGGGCAGTCAGGGAATCGAGTAAAGGGTCACACTAGAAACACTGTCATCTTTACGTATATACATATGTATATATATATACATATATTATATACACATATCTATATATATATTTATTTATTTATTTTTATTCATACTTATAGTTATATCGTTGTAGCAAACATGAAAATCTATTGTACTTGTAGTTGTACAAAACATGAAATGGCGGTGATAGTGAAGACGGTAGTCATAGCAATGAAGGTCGAAATGAGAGTCGGTAGACATAGAAATCCGTATGCCGGCATGTGTGCAACGGTGCTTGCATGTGTTAGCGCATCTACTTACCTGTTCATTGATTGTTTGCTGGCCGATGAGCCGTGGTCCACCTGTCTGCGATGTGCCGGCAGGTCATGCTCGGACTTGAAAGCTAGGTTTAGCTAGGTACGTCAAAATGAAACGTCCAAGGCACTGCACGAACGACACAGTGTTGACACATGCCCTTGAACGGTCTTCTACATCCACTGGCTACAATGCTACAAGTCCTGCCGTTACAGAGTTGCTGAAAGGAGTGCTGAAATACCAACGGCAAGTAATTTTCTTAACAAGAAGACTGCCCTGTGGCAGTCAACGACGCTGCTCGAAATCGTGAAAGCTCTGCCTACTTGCAGACCACCTGCCTGCTAGTGCCAGCACAATCCACCGAGACACAAATATGCCGACACGGACACACGGACACACACACACACCCCAGCAGCTGTGCATAGACACATGGGTATATGTTTACCTAACTCCAGAACGGCCGCCTGAAGTGTTTGTAGCTTCAGCAATGGTCATAAACGTTTGTATGTCTATGTTCGTTAACGTTTTCACTTGCGCAAGTATGTTTCTAAGCACGCATGTAGATCTAGATGCCTGCATACACTATGCCTGTACAGATAAACGGAGAGACATGCTGGTTACATGGTTACGGACTTGCTTTTGCTTCTGGCTTTTCTTGCCACCAGCACGAACACATGTGCAATTCGCTAAAGCCCAGAAAGCAGCCAACTGTCGCGCAAGAAGCCTTCCAGCCAGCACAGCAGGTGTTTTCGCTGTGCCGTTTGGAAGCGAGGCGCCCCTGGCTTTTGCTGCGGCTGACGACGAGGAGCCTTTGTTGACTGCTCACAAAAGTTTGATTTACGATAGCACTGAGAGGTAAAATGAACTGCGAACTCGCCGCTAGAGACGCCGGGTTATGACATCTACAATGCTGCTGTATGTTCAGTGACTACGACTACAACTATCACGACGACGACCCCCACCAGCAGCAGCACCAGCAGCAGCAGTAGCACCACCACCAGATACAGTAGTGGTTTGCACAAACACACGTTGATGCTGGTGAGGGTGCTAATAGCAAAAAGTAGCTTCATGTAATGAGCTAGGTGTAGACAATAAGTCGGCACGCCGCCAAGCATCCTCGTGATTAGCCCATCCATCACATTTGCAAGCTATTGGCGCGGGTGCTAGCCGATCCGGATCCCGATCAGACAGTGTGGCTATCAGCCGCTGAGCCGCGAGGAGGCATCCAACACGGCGGTCGCACATGTGTTGGATGGTTTGGTCCACGATGATGGATCGAAGGCACGCAGGGCACAGCCGAAGCGTCAAATGATTCTTGTTCTTCTGCATGAAGGGCTGAGCTCTTCTCCGGGATGCCGGATTCTTCTGGGGGGTCTTGAGAGGCCATCGAGGTTTCTGGGCCCTCGCCTAAAGGAGTGCAACGCGTGCCGATTGACAGGCGAGGACTCTTTGGCGTCCGGGCCCAGATACAGCCTTTGGCAACCCGCTGCTACGATGCTATTCAGAATATCTGATCGACAATGATGGTAGCACCGCGAACTTCCGTGGACAAACATCTTCCAGAATGCAGAACCCACAATTCCGAACCCTGCAGCGACGGAACGTGGCACCTGTCGGTTCTGGAGCCGTGCCAGCAACTGCTCTGCACACAGGGCTGCTGGGCCTACTGCGCCCCTGCGCAGTCGAGCTACAAGGCCCCAGCGCGCGGCTCTCGGTTCAGGACTTATGGGTGCTTTGTACAGGGTGTTTGGAGGTTTGCTTTCTTGCGAACTGCCAGAATCGGTTTGGGTTTTGACTGCTTCACCAGGAAAATCCTTTCTGCAGGAGAGCAAGGGGACCCAGTGGAAAGCTCTTGAAAAGGCCATGCGACCCTGCCTGAGGCCGCAAGTGGAGTGGCCAGCATCTGCCGAGGATCTCAGCAAAGCCTCTGAGGACCAAATCAAGGTCGCCGCTCTAAGAGCTGAAGCAGAGTTAGCGTGGCTTCAACAATCCGAATAGCACATGGTACCAGCCGCTTCAATATGGAAAGAGTTGTCAGCAAAACAGCAGCAGTTTCTTTCCAATCGCAGACATCGCGACCCGAGCAGCAGAAGTCGCATGATGACAATTGCATGCTCCCTGAGGCACTTGTCGCTGCTGCCACACCCGATTTACCTGCCCCGCGGCACTTATGGCAGAGCCGCGACGTGGCCCCTCGTGTTGCAAAACATGGCATTGGGAAAGTACCGGTGTCGTAAAGGTCCCGATGCACTGAAAGCCCAAGTCAAGCGTGCTGCAGGTGTTCGTCAGCTCACGTGCATGGTGGCCACTAGGATGTCTCCGCACATTGCACTTCGGGCCTCCTCTTCTGGAACGTGCCATCTTAGTCAGAAGCGGAAAAATCTCCACAACACGACGTACCTCGGTCTATCCGTGCACTTGCAGATGTTTGCCCCCGATGGTGCTGTTGTTCTACTAAAAATTCTGGATGATTCAAGCCTGCAAAGCAACTTCATCACGGAAAATCAAGATCAAAGGCTTCTCTTGGCGACGGTGAGCTTTTGATCCGCGCGCTCACTTGCGAGGGCCACGCAGACTGGTGCCTGGACTTAGACTATTGATGGCAATCCGATGTAGGCTCTCAAATTTTTAGGTTGAGGACTTCGTGTTGGGCGTGAATTCGGGAAGGCATGTTGGTCGGTGCTTTTTGTGTAATCTGAAGTACGAGTAGAGATGAGAACTCGGAACCTGCTGCTTGGCTGGAGACAGCGAAGGTTGGAGTTCGTTCATCTCCCCACAAGGACGGGAAAGAGATAAGTTATGATACATTCAAGAGTAGCACATACACCCGTAAGCAAAATACTTGAAGCGGAAGGAACGGCACTGGAAGTTCCATACGACATCGGCAGCATCACTTCTTGCTCGCCATGTTCTTCTTCGTTGTCATCTCGCGGGAGTTCATGAATTGTGCATCACCGAAGCATGTGCGTGCCACAGTCCGAAGTCAAGGGCCCCCGAACCCTGCATCTTCAACCAACAGCCGAAGCCTTCAGCTTGTAAGCAGAGTTACAACCATCCTAGACTTTGGCCCTCTACTCTAGCACCACTGAGTTTCTGTGATGATACATTACAACACAACATGCTGCAAGCCAGATTGCTTTAATTGCCACATACCGAATACTGTTATTCCTGCTATCCTTCATAGGTGGCCAGTTCCATGATGCTTCAAGCCACGTGCTGCTTCAGTTAAGCGTGCCGCCTCGGCTTTTCAGTTCTGAGGCGGATTTGCTTTGGAAGGGCATGCACACTAAACAAGCAGTGATTAGTGTTTGGGCCCGAGGTTTCTAGTGTGAGGCACATATTAGATGGTAGTGGTAGTAATGGTAGTAGTGATGCCATTACTATGAGTATTGTTGCGCAACATACCATATCGCAGCGACCCTGCTGGCTGCGGCATAGCGCACGTATACAAACATACACCATACTTACAGACACACA